ATTCCTCACTAAGTTAGAACATGAGTACTTTACTCATAGGTAATACCATGGATTGTGTTATTGTGTGTGACTTGATCAAATTTATTGGATGGATGCTAAAATCACAGCCTGTATCAGGATCATACAGACTGGGTTACAGGTGGTATATTTAGGACAAGAATAGCCAATGATGATTTGGTTTGTTTTATGGTATCCATACCAGTTTCTCTACCTGTATGTGTGATTGTAATCACTACATTATGTCAGTACATGCATAGTAGTTGACATCTAGATGATGAATAGAGCCCCCTTTGTAGGCATGTTTTTTTCTGAAACTGGCAATAAAATCCACTGAAAATATCTATTTTCTATGGTTTGCTTGTTGTTTATCACAAATCAGTGAAATTAATTCTGGTCAGTGAAACAAATTCTGGTTTTCTGCATAAATTTAAATCCAACAAAAATATAGTTATTATGGGTATAATTCAGCAATGTACAATGCTTTTTCGTTTGTTCACTGTATAACTTTCCAATGTGATTTGAGAAAAAACTATCAAATTAAATATGTCAAAAATTGCCCATTTACCAGCTGTTTCCATGGACCACAATGATCATATTTTGTCATTGAAAAAACCCTTCAAAAAGATACAAATTTGTTAATAAATCATAACAACAGCACGTACCTTATCAGATGATATATATGATTGGTTGGCTATCACCATGACACCCTACAAAATTTTGAGATAGTTGTAAAATGAAATATTTATGTACAAATATCATTAATCCAAGTTTCATACATGTACTGTAAAGTATTTTAAATATTGACCTTGAAAATGGCTGTCATCTCAATTTTGAAGTTTGAACTTTGAAGCCCTGGTTGCAGTAAACCTCAAAGTCAACTTTTGTCACAAAAGTAAACCCACAATCTTTTTCATAATTTTGCCCAACATCTATAGCCAATAGAAAATGATGTTCATTTGTTCTAAAACTATCCCATAAAATTCAAAAATATGTAAAAATATAGAAAAATGTTACCTCATACTTTTGGTAGAGAAATATTTGATGCTTAAAGGATTAAATAGAACTTTGTACCTGAATGAGCAGATCTTGCATTATTTAATCTCAATTTACCTCCATTCATTTATTTCACATTCTCTTGTTAATTAAGTATTGACAACAATGTGCACATGTTTGTCAATATGAAGTATGAATCTTGTATTAATAATTGAATCCACACCATTTGTGCTGTGTTATGTAACACATTAAAATGCAACATTGGTATTTATCCTCGTCTTTTTATTATAAAATTTAAAAACATTCATATTATGTAAAATGTATGTCTTGAAAAAATATTTGTTGTTTTTGGGACTGTGTTGTCTTGAAAATGCAAGAGATGACAATGTTAGTGTGGTACTCTTTCATTACAGACTGTAGTATACCAATTGGATGTGTGCTTATAGTAGAGATAATTTTACATGCCATGTAATAAAGGGAAATAAGTACCATAACATTCAGTAGTTTCGTTTGGTGGAGGAAAACTCAGTTCCAAGAAATTTATTATCCTGTGAACAATATAACAAGTTATGTGCAATTCACTCTAAACCTAATGACTTCAGCAGTGATATATCACTCAATAAAATTACTTATTTATCTTTCTTTGAGAGAACAGTTGCTGAGTGCCAATTATTTCACAAAAAGAACTCTATTCTGTACTTTGTCCACAGCGTCTCTATTGGAGATGTGCTTCTATTAGAGCAAATATAGTGATATTATAATATTTTACTTTATTTTCAGATTCCAAAAACACTGTCTGAAGGGGACAGTGGTAGAGAAAGACTGAAGACGTTTACCTATGACTATTCTTACTGGTCATACAATAGCAATGATACACACTTTGCATCACAACAACAGGTATGAAATTATTTCCATGAATTTATCAGATGACGCAATTGCTGTTAATAATGGACTAATAGTACTTATAATGGAAAGGCGAGTTTCTCTGTCACATGTCAACATGTAGCCAAACTGTTATCTGAACATATAAGTTTGGGTTACATGATGTGAAAGTGAAACTAAAAAGCTTACTCAATTCTGCATGTATCATTTAAAGACCCTGGTTTATGTGAATGGGATCCTCTATGTATATTTACGTTTACATTCAATTTCACAGCACTCAAAATGTACTGTAAAATACTATATTTTTGCTTGGAATTTATTTTTGCTGAAAATAAAATTTAGTGAATATACCTTTTTTCTTACATTTTACATTCAACTCATCAAGAATCAGTGAAAATAAACGTCACACAAAACAACCAAAAAAAATTTATCAGTGAAAATTAATTCCAGCTAATAAAAAGTATTTTACAGTATATCATTGATATCTGGGGTTTCTCTTCACCATATCACTAAGTAGATACATTTATGTCTGTATAGCAGTTCAATTGTTAACACCCATCATTGTATGGTAATTAACACAGTAATGTAATTACTGTTAATTGTCTTATGTTTTTTTACTGTATTATTTTACACTGTCCTGAGACTGTATATAGACCTCATGTATAATGATAAACCTTATTGACATGTGATATATATAGGTCTGGTTGACCTTTCTAATTGGACCTCAATGACATAGTGTTATGTAATTACTGAATTTGACAATGGAACTAATTACTGTATATTACAATGCAACTGAAAACACTGAACTCTGACGGTCTGTTTTACGAACTCACTGTCTTCAAATTCAAGCATAGCTGTTCATATATAATGATTGTCAGTGTCATCACCTTTACATTTTTGACTTCCTAAAAAACATTGCTGTATGGTTTGTTTGTTGATTTTATGACGAAACTTTGATTTCTTATGTTTAATGCATATTACTGTTATTTTGAGGAAAATTTACCGAAACAGATATTTTCAACAAAACGATGCCTGATTGCGCTATTTTTATATGTAGGTATCTTTGCCATTCTTCTATTAGGTTTGTTGATTTTATGACTTTTAATGAATCTGATTTTAGTGAAAATTGTTGTCATTTTCAGTAAAATTTCTGATGTATTTTTGAAAACCACTAGCTTGATATTTTATATTTTTACTACATATGAATAACTTAAATTTTGTGATTTTAGTGAATATTCTTGTTATCTTGAAAATGGCTAGACTAATTGATTTGATATTCCACTCTCATTATGCATCTCAGACAACATAGTCATATCATCTGACACGCTGCTTGTTTTTTGAATTTTTTTTTAAATTTGACTAGTTCAATAAAAATATTGGTAAATTTCTGATCAAGCAATCAGTGAAACACATTCTGTTTTCAAGGAAAGCAAAGAATAGTTTCCTTCAGCTTCATTGCAGTGCGAAATAAAAAAAAAATACGCCATATATTTTGAAAAGGTCATACTGCAATCTGTTGGCAATAATAACAAATGATGTCACTTCCTGGACAGTGATGTTAATGTCCTACAAATGATGTCACTTCCTGGACAGTGATGTTAATGTCCTACAAAGCAATATATCCAGGGTACACAGTGTTAATGTATAGCTGGCATTATGACATTGATGTACACTTTATTACAGTAATTAACATGAGCTCCAGCAACCGCTCTCTAAATAAAAACAAATATGTATTACTGTAACAATTTGAGATTATCTTTTTGCATGCAGATGATGTTGCTTGTCTTTATGGAATTTTTGTACATGTAGTGTATATTATATTGATGGGATACCCTTTCGTCAAATAATATACTACCACACTTACAACTTCAAAAAGTGCAGTTGATGACAATTGTTTTCAGAAAGAAATGAGTTCAACAAATATTTCAAATTATTGAACTTTATTTATGGCACTCGTGTTCATTGATAAACTTCAATAAAGTGGATCACATTGTTTTCATGTTGTACATCTCAAATAGCAGACAAAATTAGTTGCCAAGCTTCTTGTTTGAAAGGCTAACCATAAATTTTGAATTTATTTTTAATATGTCTCCAATACTGTCAAGCACACATGAGTACTTTCTAAGTTTTCTTTGATTACATTTGATTCAACGCTTAACACAGAATCTTGCAGTGACCGGTTTATGTGAAAAGTGAAAATGGTTTATTGACTTACCACATCACATGCGTGTTGCACATCTGGTTTTTGATTATATATGCTTTGGTTTCTAATAATTACAGACTACTGAATATTGGTAGCATGTGTGGAGTTATTTGGATGTAGCTAGCAAACAAACAGATAAAGTTAAACCATGCTCATCTAGCCTAGAGCATTACTAAAGCCTGTGTAATCCACACAATGGCTTGACTGTAGGTCATCTAAATAGTAAAAAAACAATTGGCTGTTGGGTAATCTCTTAGACAAAAATTGTTACGCCATATGCTCTGCCATATTTACCTATATCTAAGCTTTCAGAGGATGTATAGGTTGTTATAGTAGCAAGCTATGTAACTTTCAGAGAGTGTCTAAATCACTGATCATTTATTAACACTTTTTTAGCTCCTTTGTCGAGCGGAGCTTATCATATGAGTGATTGTTCGTCGTTGTCCGTGTCAATGTTTTACTTTTTTGACTTCTTCTTGAAAACTACAAGCCTGAATGCTTTGATACTTGGTGTATATGTACCTTGGGTAGACCTCTCTCAGATTTGTTCATTTCATGATGATATCTTTAATTCTCTAATTTTGGTGAATATTTTTGTAATTTTTGATAAAAAGTGATATTTTCGACTTCTTGTTGAAAACCACAAGTCTAATTGCTTGATATATTATACATATAGGTACTACATGTGGACCTCTCTCAGATTTGTTCATTTTCTAATGATATCTTCTGTTCTTTAATTGCCATGTGCATTGCTAACAGCGGAGCTATCTCAACCGACAGGCTGCTTGTTATATACCCCTTTTGTCACCTTAACAACTCTTGCAGACTGTACAAATGTACTGTATGAACTGTTAAAATGTCACTGATTTATTGAATGTATTGTAGGTTTTTGAAGACCTTGGAACAGATGTATTGAATTCAGCATTTGGTGGATATAATGCATGTGTGTTTGCATATGGACAGACAGGATCAGGAAAGTCCTACACTATGATGGGACATAAACCAGTAAGTATGTGTACGTGAGTACCTGTACTCAACAAACACACAGTGTTCTCTATAGAAGGTTTGGGATGGGTGTTTTTTTATGTCACCCACCTAATGTCCACCTGTTGGGAATCATAATAGACAAGTTTTGAGTTCCCCTGTTACCTTAGAAACCTGCGGGTGAAAACATTGCAATTGTCTCTCCTCACGATAGCTCATCAGAACGCAGGGAACCAAGAATAAATTGTGAGAGCTAGAAATCAAACCCATATTATCACAAGGAAACTAGTTGATGCCAGTGATGGCGCTAATACTT